CAATGGGTAGTACTACTTGTAAACAGATACAAAATTAACCAATTTATAAATTTCTAAAATTGATAATTTATATATGAAATTAAGAGTTAAATGTGACAATATAAAATATATTATTTTCTTTATCTTCTAAAGGATCATATAATCTTAGAGACGAACGGGACATCACCAAGTTCAGCCTGTAATTCACAGAAACTTAAAAAAATTCATTCATTTATTCACGAGTAGGTATTGAGTATCTACTATATGCTAGACATGGTTTTAAGCTATGAGGATAAGCAAAAACAATAGAGTGGCAGGCAATACACAACACACAAAGGAAAGAATGTATGTCTACTGTCCATTAACCAACAGATATGCTAAGGTCAACAGATATTTAAGGTCAGATATGCTAAATATTCAGAATTTTCTGGATTATAGGAAGGTAGCATAGTGCTATCCTGCAGGTCTGTAGTCAAACACATTGAAAATTCTAAAGTAAAATATATCAATTTCATACCAAATGGAATAAATATAGATTAAAAGCAGCCTCAGCCTCACATCAAATCAGATCAGTTTTTACTACCAAATGAGTTCAAGCCATGCCAGGTATGGCTAACAAATTAAGTATGATAAACTTTAGGCTTACAAAATTTTTTAGGTTTCAAAAATGTGGATAATGGATTGTGGCCTATATGTAATATGTCGCAGGGGCGCAGGGGGGAGCACAATAGAGAAAAATAGAGTATGGCAGATGGGGAGTATGTGTGTGTGTGCGCATGGACAGGCGGTCAGGGAGCAGTGAACCGAGGGAGTGAATCTGGAAGAGCGCTGGGCGCACGGTATTCTCAGCAGACAGATGAACAGGTGCAAAGACTAAGGCGGAACTGTCTCTGACACGTTTAAGAGGAAGCAATCAAAAGTGAGTGGGAGGAAATGAGGCTGGAGGTAAAGCAGGGATTCATTTAGGGCCCCAAAGACCATCGCATGGACTTTAAAATTTTCTGAGTGAGTCCGGAAACCACTAAGGGGTTTTGAGCAGAAGAGTGATGATGATGCATAGTTTCAAAGTATTACTTTAAAATAAATCTGTTGAGAATAGGCTGCAGGAGACCAGGATGATACAGGGAAATGAGTTGGAAGGCCACTGCAAAAATCTAACTGAGAAATGATGGTGGCTTACATCAAGGTCGTAACAGTGGCTGTGGAGAGAAGCAACAAGATTCTGGATATATACTGAAGATAGTACAGGGAGGATTTGTGGATGGATTAGTTGTAAGGTATTAGAGAAAAAAGAACCAAAGATCACACAAAAGTTTTCGATCTAATCAATTAAAAGCAATAGTTCCCATTTGTTGAGATGAGGGGGAGGAAATCTGAGGATGGGCAACAGTTGGGACACGAAGCTTGGGTTTGGACATTTTAAGTCTGAGATACCAGTCAGTCATCTTCTAGAACTGCGCTGTTCACTACAATAGCTATTAGCCACGAGCCACATTTAAACTTCAATTAAAAATTCACTTCCTCATTTACACTAGCCACACTTCAAGTAGGTAATAGCTACATGTGGCTAGTGGCTACTGTACTGGACGGCACAGATACAGAACATTACCATCCTGGCAGAAAGTTCTACGGGGAAGCACTGTTCTAGAAACTGTGGTTTGTAGAGTACCTACTACTTTGGGCAAAGCAATGGTATAAGAAAGATAAATAAGCAGGACCCCTACTTTGAAAAGACTTCCAGAGAAGAGAAAGAAATATTAACAAATAATAAAACCAGAGATCAGCATAAAATGTGTTTGTTTGAAAACTGATTTTGTTGGGGCAAACTCAATGAAACATGGCTTTTGGGAACAATCCACGCCATCTTGGGCCCCAGCCCCAATCAATTTGTTTGTATTAAATGCTAGCTCTGGCCCCGGTTGAAAGAGATATGGGACAAGATCATCAGAAGTGTGAACAGAGAAAAATTCTGAATCTTCAGCACTTTAAATGGCACCAGGCAACAAAGCAGTGTGAATCAGAAAACCTTTCCCTCAGTCTCCTTGATTTCTTCCTCCTCTTTTTTCTCCTCTCTAATCTTTTGTTATCTGAACTTTAAGTTCTAAGCTACTTGAGGGCAGAAGTACATTCTTTTCATATTTTTCGTTTGTGATTTTGTAAAAGCAAATGCATTTTCTCAACTTAACTTGAGACAGATGAATTGTCTAAGGCTTTCTGTTTCACACACAGATTTGAGAAGTACTTTGAACTCTATTTTGAAATAATGGCATTTCTGGGATAGTTGATGGGAAAAACAAGGTCGAATATTTAAAATTGGGAATGTTTCAGAAAGCCCAGTGTGTACGGTATCCAAACAGTGCGTTCCTGCTGGGAAGTTTAAGCACTTCATGCCAATTGAGTGTGTCAACCATCATTTCACTTTTAGTTACTGTCTCTCATAATTTGGGAATATGTTCTATTTCTATCACCTAAATATAACCTGTCAAGGTAGTCCAAGATCAGAGGAGAAACGATTTCCTTCTATACTAGTAACTAACATTCAAAATCTTTTATCAAATTATGTTGTCTTTAGCTCTTTTCTAACTTGATTTGAGTGATTAGTACCATTGAGTCAGAAAACGTCAGCTGTCATATATATTTGCAGACTGCCAATACGTATACATGTTTTTATATCATGATGGTTTCCTGAAAGCAATTTTAGCTACCCAGAAAAACTCAATAGTCCCTAACCATATGTATAGCGCCTCCCCCATGGGCAAATATGTGGACTTTAACTTAAGAAGCTATTCTATATGTTGTGTCACTATAAATTTTTTAGAAACATCTGCAGTTTTGCTCAGTCAGTCCGTACATGCTGCTATTAGTGTAACTAAACCTTTTACTGTGTGAAGCCACAGAGATTCTGCAGGTGTTTGTTTCAGCAGCAATTTTCCCTAATTAATAAACCCTCTATTATTTCTTACAGTATAAATAAGGTCAAAACACTATAACATTTTCATTTAGTGTTTAGACTCGGAACACCAATAACTTTCGTGACAATGGAGATAAATATTTAAGTGTGTATTAGAAGCATACTGAATCTGAGGCTGAGAAAATTTTACGGCACAACAGAAGCAAGGATCAACAGTGCTCACTGGTTGCCAGTTGAATCATCTCTCAGGTGAATTCTGAATTCAATGAAGTATTTACGATTCAGCAAGAGAGTTGTTTAGCCAGGTTTGGAGAAATATCGTAAAGCATCTGTACTCAAGTTGTCAACTTTTCAAAGCAGTTCTGGACTGAGTTATTGAGAAAGCAAATATGGGGTGGGGGGAGTAGGTTCAGTTAAAGCTTCTTTTTATCAATAGCTTGGCCACAAAGAAGTACACTCTTTAGTCCAAACGGATAAACACACACCTGGTACATCCGGACAGTTTCTCCTTGAAATTCTGTGTAGAGAACATGGTTACCATATGGACAGATGCGGCTTACTGTACTCTTCAACTACCTTGACTTTTCTAAAAACTACATGGTTTTTTTAACCACCGTCCATGGCTTGATTCTCAAATATAACAAAGAAACTTAGATTTGACACTTGCTAATCTTAGTTTTCACTAAGCAGAAAAAACCCAACCATGCTTAATATTTTAATTCAAATAAATTATGTGAGGCTTTCAAAAGGGGCAATGACTAAATAAGTTGGTTGCAAAGAATATGAAATAAAATTAAATGCCTTAATTTCCTCCTCTTTAATAATTAAACTTAAGTCCACAAATATAATACTAGTGCCAAACGCAAGAAAATTTCATGGGATGTGAAAGCCTAGGATTCTCAGCATTGTTTTAATATGAGTGTGCTATATAGTATTTCAGGAAAAATCAAAAGATGTTAGTATTAAAACAAAGCCTCTGTCTTTGTATAGGGCTATTGCCAACTTCAAACAGTGCACTTGCCACAATGCAGGGGCACAACCACCTCTACAAAATGCTAAGGTGCCATCGTGACAGTGACTTGGCTCCATCCTGAGCTAACCTGACACGCTTCCAATATAAACTAGCACTATATAAAAACAAACTTTTGATAAGGAGCTCAAAGACGAAGAGGCACTGAGCACCTAGCATGGTGAACACACAGTTTCCTTCTCAATACAGCTGACCCTTGAACAACGCAGGCGTTAGGGGCGCGAGCTCTCCACCCAGTTGAAAATCTGCATGTAACTTATAGTCAGCCGGCCTTCTCTATCTGCAGTTCCTCGTGGATTCAACTAACCTTGAATTGTGCAGTACTGTAGGGTTTACTACTGGGAAAAAAGCCCCATTATAAGTGGACCCTGGCAGGTAAAACTTGTGTTGTTCAAGGGTCAACTCCACATGTTTGCTAAGTGATGGATTTAAGATGTAAATACAAACTTTAGCCCACATTACTGGCTTTAGTGATGTAGGTGTTTATGCCCTCATCATGTTCCAAATGGAATTATGGCAACTAAAAAACATGCATAAAATATCATAAAGATCAACTGAGAGTAAATGAGAAGAGCTGCAACGGGTTCAGTGAATAAGATGGAGCCGGTAGGCATGGATTTGACTACCTCATCTTCACTGTGTAAGATTTTAAAAGTACGTTACCTTTCTAATGAAGAACCATGTCATTTAATTTGTTGCAAATTTCTTTTCTGAAAGTATTCAGAATAAAAAATTGGATTTCGCCTAATGAAGAGTCTGGGAACTTGAAATCTATGTTTTGGCTCAAGAAACCCTTTTTAGTTCCAGAAATCATTGTTTACGGTAACAACAGGTGAGAAGAAGACAGTGCAGACTCTAGACTCAAGATCAGTAAACTCTCGGTGAGGCAGAGAACAAGTATCTTCACAGACTGACCTAAGCTGGAGGCAGGGGACACTAATAAGTAAAAGTGTGCCTGAGAGATGTATTATGGAACCAAATGAACAGAAACCACAGGACATCTATATTTAAAACAAACAAAAACAACAGGAAGTGTAAGCATAAACCACTTTACCTCAGACACCCCGAGAGTTCACTTACCTATCGCTTGAGCTAAGGCTATGACAACTTCTTGGCAAGTTGTGACTTCGGTGACCCCACAAACAATCCTCTGAACTCCGTCCACCCATACTTTAAGTTCCATGGTGCCCCAGCCAGTCACCCAAGGGCCCTGAGACTGGTCATCAAGATGTCAGGTCATGTCTCTGGCCACGAAAACACGGAAAAGGCAGAGTCTGTGTAGTCAGCTAAAAAGAGGAAAAAACATTTTTAATAAAACAAATCTTACCATTTCTCCTAGTAAGTAAATGTTACCAAAACAAATTTTAATATATCATAGTCCTACTACCATTAATGACCATGGGCTTACTTACTCACAGAACTGAACTTAGAAGTGTGACTACAACCATGGCCACCAATCATGACACCTCATGGTACTATTTCCACAATTAGAATATTAATCATAAAGTCACTCTCCACTGACCAAAGAAATCTTATTAACTTGATCAAGCCCTATTGCTCAACATACAAACTAATTTTTTACAAAAATTACTTCATTAGGATAATTTCTGAGGTTAAAAAAAAGAAAAGAAAGTTTTTTGGTCATTTTAGGAATCACAAATAATTGAACCAGTTTCCACAGCCTTGCCAGCATCTGTTTGTTCCCTGTGTCCCTTGCCTCACACTCTTGGCCAAGGGACCGAGAGTGCTGTCTACACCACTGAAACTCCAACACCAAGTGCAGCATAAGGCATAGGTAGGTGTGCAGAAAAATATTCGCTGAAGGATATTAATTCCTTCGTTGGCTGACAACTTCCCCATTTATGAACTGCTTGTCCTCTACCCATTTATTTAACTGGAGTTTGATAACTGTCTTAAACTTTTTTTTTTTTAAACATCTTTACTGGAGTATAATTGCTTTACAATGGTGTGTTAGTTTCTGCTTTATAACAAAGTGAATCAGTTATACATATACATATGTCTCCATATATCTTCCCTCTTGTGTCTCCCTCCCTCCCACCTTCCCTATCCCACCCCTCTTTGTGTGGTCACAAAGCTCCGAGCTGATCTCCCTGTGCTATGCGGCTGCTTCCCACTAGCTATCTATTTTACGTTTGGTAGTGTATATATGTCCATGCCAGTCTCTCACTTTTTCCCAGCTTACCCTTCCCCCTCCCCGTATCCTGAAGTCCATTCTCTAGTAGGTCTGCGTCTTTATTCCCGTCTTGCCCCTAGGTTCTTCACGACCTTTTTTTTTTCTTTTTAGATTCCATATATGTGTTAGCATACGGTATTTGTTTTTCTCTTTCTGACTTACTTCACTCTTATGACACACTTTAGGTCCATCCACCTCACTACAAATAACTCAATTTTGTTTCTTTTTATGGCTGAGTAATATTCCATTGTATATATGTGCCACATCTTCTTTATCCATTCATCTGTTGATGGACACTTAGGTTGCTTCCATGTCCTGGCTATTGTAAACAGAGCTGCAATGAACATTTTGGTACATGACTCTTTTTGAATTATGGTTTTCTCAGGGTATATGCCCAGTAATGGGATTGCTGGGTCCTATGGTAGTTCTATTTTTAGTTTTTTAAGGAACCTCCATACTGTTCTCCATGGTGGCTGTATCAATTTACATGCCCACCAACAGTGCAAGAAGATTCCCTTTATTCCACACCCCATCCAGCATTTATTGTTTGTAGATTTTTTGATGATGGCCATTCTGACCAGTGTGAGACGTTATCTCATTGTAGTTTTGATTTGCATTCCTCTAATGATTAATGATATTGAGCATTCTTTCATGTATCTGTAGGCAATCTGTATATCTTCTTTGGATAAATGTCTATTTAGGTCTTCTGCCCATTATTGGATGGGGTTCTTTGCTCTTTTGATATTGAGCTGCATGAGCTGCTTGTAAATTTTGGAGATGAATCCTTTGTCAGTTGCTTCCTTTGCAAATATTTTCATCCATTCTGAGGGATGTCGTTTTGTCTTATTTATGGTTTCCTTTGCTGTAGAAAAGCTTTTAAGTTTCATTAGGTCCCATTTGTTTACTTCTGTTTTTATTTCCATTTCTCTAGGAGATACGTCAAAAAGGATCTTGCTGTGATTTATGTCACAGAGTGTTCTGCCTGTGTTTTCCTCTAAGAGTTTTATAGTGTCTGGCCTCACATTTAGGTCTTTAATCCATTTTGAGTTTATTTTTGTGTATGGTGTTAGGGAGTATTTGAATTTCATTCTTTTACATGTAGCTGTCCAGTTTTCCAAGCACCACTTATTGAAGAGGCTGTCTTTTCTCCATTGTATATTCTTGCCTCCTTTATCAAAGATAAGGTGACTATATATGCGTGGGTTTATCTCTGGGCTTTCTATCCTGTTCCATTGATCTATCTTTCTGTTTTTGTGCCAGTACCATACTGCCTTGATTACTGTAGCTTTGTAGTATAGTATGAAGTCAGGGAGCTTGATTCCTCCAGCTCCGCTTTTTTTTTTTTTTTTTTTTTTTTTTTTTTTTTTGCTGTACATGGGCCTCTCATTGTTGTGCCCTTTCCCATTGTGGAGCACAGGCTCTGGCCTTGCAGGCTTAGCAGCCATGACTCATGGGCCCAGCCACTCCGCGGCATGAGGGATCTTCCCGGACTGGGGCATGAACCCGTGTCCCCTGCATCGGCAGGTGGACTCTCAACCACTGTGCCACCAGGGAAGCCCCTCCATCTCCATTTTTGTTCTCAAGATTGCTTTGACTATTCAGGGTCCTTTGTGTTTCCATACAAATTGTCAAATTATTTTTTCTAGTTCTGTGAAAAATGCCAGTGATAGTTTGGTAGGGATTGCATTGAATCTGTACATTGTTTTGGGTAGTAGAGTCATTTTCACGATGTTGATTCTTCCAATCCAAGAACATGGTATATCTCTCCATCTCTTTGTATCATCTTTAATTTCTTTCATCAGGTCTTATAATTTTCTGCATACAAGGTCTTTTGTCTCCGTAGGTAAGTTTACTCCTAGTTATTTTATTCTTTTTGTAGCAATGGTAAATTGGTGTGTTTTCTTCATTTCACTTTCAGGTTTTTCATCATTAGTGTATAGGAATGCCAGCGATTTGTGTGCATTAATTTTGTATGCTGCTACTTTACCAAATCCATTGATTAACTCTAGTAGTTTTCTGGTAGCATCTTTAGGATCCTTCAATTTGTTAATATGGTGTATCACATTGATTGATTTGTGTATATTGAAGTATCCTTGCATTCCTGGAATAAACCGCACTGGATCATGGTGTATGATCCTCTTAATGTGCTGTTGGATTCTGTTTGCTAGTATTTTGTTGAGGATTTTTGCATCTATGTTCATCAGTGATATTGGCCTGTAGCTTTCTTTCTTTGTGACATCTTTGTCTGGTTTTGGTACCAGGGTGATGGTGGCCTCGTAGAATGAGTTTGGGAGTGTTCCTCCCTCTGCTATATTTTGGAAGAGTTTGAGAAGGATGGGTGTCAGCTCTTCTCTAAATGTTTGATAGAATTCACCTGTGAAGCCATCTGGTCCTGGGCTTTTGTTTGTTGGAAGATTTTTAATCACAGTTTCAATTTCAATGCTTGTGATTGGTCTGTTCATATTTTCTATTTCTCCCTGGTTCAGTCTCGGAAGGTTGTGCATTTGTAAGCATTTCTCGATTTCTTCCAGATTGTCCATTTTATTGGCATAGAGTTGCTTGTAGTAGTCTCTCACGATCCTTTGTATTTCTGCCGTGTCAGGTGTTGCTTCTCCTTTTTCATTTCTGATTCTGTGGATTTGAGTCTTCTCCCTTTTTTTCTTGATGAGTCTGGCTAATGGTTTATCAATTTTGTTTACCTTCTCAAAGAACCAGCTTTTGGTTTTACTGATCTTTGCTATCATTTCCTTCATTTCTTTCTGATCTGATCTTTATGATTTCTTTCCTTCTGCTAACTTTGGGTTTTTCTTTGTTATTCTTTCTCTAATTACTTTAGGTGTAAGGTTAGGTTGTTTATCTGAGATGTTTCCTGTTTCTTCAGGTAAGATTGTATTGCTATAAACTTCCCTCTTAGAACTGCTTTTGCTGCATCCCATAGGTTTTGGGTCATCGTGTTTTCATTGTCATTTGTTTCTAGGTAATTTTTGATTTCCTCTTTGATTTCTTCAGTGATCTCTTGGTTATTTAGTAGTGTATTGTTTAACCTCCATATGTTTGTATTTTTTACACTTTTTTTTTCCTGTAATTGATATCTAGTCTCACAGCGTTGTGGTCGAAAAAGATACTTGATACGATTTCAGTTTTCTTAAATTTACCAAGGCTGGATTTGTGAGCCAATATATGATCTATCCTTGAGAAGAATGTGTATTCTGTTCTTTTTGGATGGAATGTCCTATAAATATCAATTAAGTCCATCTTGTTTAATGTATCATTTAAAGCTTGTGTCTCCATATTTATTTTCATTTTGGATGATCTGTCCATTGGTGAAAGTGGGGTATTAAAGTCCCCTACTATGATTGTGTTACTGTCGATTTCCCCTTTTATGGCTGTTAGTATTTGCCTTATGTATTGAGGTGCTTATGCTGGGTGCATAAATATCTACAACTGTTATATCTTCTTCTTGCATTGATCCCTTGATCATTATGTAGTGTCCTTCTTTGTCTCTTGTAATAGTCTTTGTTTTAAAGTCTATTTTGTCTGAGATGAGAATTGCTACTCCAGCTTTCTTTTGATTTCCATTTGCATGGAATATCTTTTTCCATCCCCTCACTTTCAGTCTGTATGTGTCCCTAGGTCTGAAGTGGGTCTCTTGTAGACAGCATATATACGGGTCTTGTTTTTGTATATATTCAGCCAGTCTATGTCTTTTGGTGGGAGCATTATCATCCATTTACATTTTAGGTAATTATTGGTATGTATGTTCCTATTACCATTTTCTTAATTGTTTGGGTTTGTTACTGCAGGTCTTTTCCTTCTCTTGTGTTTCCTGCCTAGAGAAGTTCCTTTAGCATTTGTTGTAAAGCTGGTTTGGTGGTGCTGAATTCCCTTAGCTTTCGCTTGTCTGTAAAGGTTTTAATTTCTCCGTCAAATCTGAATGAGATCCATGCTGGGTAGAGTAATCTTGGTTGTAGGTTTTTCTCCTTCATCACTTTAAATATGTCCTGCCAGTCCCTTCTGGCTTGCAGAGTTTCTGCTGAAAGATCAGCTGTTAACCTTATAGGGATTCCCTTGTGTGTTATTTCTCCCTTGTTG